GGGTAACATTGACCGGCTTGGAAATTAAGTTAAAATTACCATATATAAGACTCTGTAGAGTCTGAAACATAAAGAAAAAACATTAATAGGTGTATCAAACATAAAATATGTTAGATAGGTACCTATGGTAATTTTAACTTAATTTCCAACCCGGTCAATGTTACCCCGTCATGGCTGCCATTAGGTGGTCAAAGTTCCCCCATTGGGGGCGGTGCCCCCCATTTGCAAACTATGACACTTTCCTAAAATTCGTCATTTGCATACGGTATGTAACTAGAAGAGTTCTACTACAATGCATCAAAACCTGGAGTTATTTTACCGAAAAAGTAAAAAATTGGAGGGGGTACTCCTACAGACTTAAAATAATAGCTCTTTTTCGTGGGTCACATTTTTAATTTTTTAACCTATTAGTTACGTATGCAAACTTTTTAAATCTTTCTATTGTGTTACGTAGCCTCAGTATTAGGCCTTTAATGACCATTGACAAAATTTTTTTAGGTCAAATAGTTTTTGAGTTTTGGGGGTTTTATTAAAAAAACGAAAAGTGGTCAAAGTTATCCCAGGAGTCAAAGTAACCCCATTTTACGGTACCAAATGACATCTCGCAACACGTCACCCTTGGCCATTAATGTCAGCCTTGGCTATCCATACCACTCTTGGCTATCCATATCTCCCTTGGCTATCCATATCACCTTTAGCTATCCATATCGCCCTTGCCTATCCATATTGCAATTGGCTATCCACATCACAATTGGCTATCCACATCACAATTGGCTATCCATATCACCCTCGCCAATCTATGCCACCCTTGGCCTTCCATGCCCTCCCAACAGACCTTAGGGCTGAGGGCGACGGCGTAGGGGGAGCAGATGAAGACGTCAGGGTAGCGCTGCAGCAGCTCGACCACATCGTGCCGCAGCACACCAACCTGCAGGCGCCCCACCAGCAGCGGCAGGCAGCTCCCGCCGTGACGCGACTGCAGCCCTGCGTCGAGGGGGAGTTATGGCCATGTGCACTGTGCAGTTAGTCACTGCTAGGTAATGTCAGGTAGATCGCGCAGTGATTTACTGTCAAATTGCAGGTGTGCCGAGCAGCGAGCCTGGATTAGCGAGGAGGGTACGCAGCGCGTGCACTGCAGTGACTCGAGGTAAGTAGTGCAGTGGGTACACCATGCCGTGCAGTGACTCGACGTAATTAGTGCGCAGTGGGTAGGCTCAGCAAAACGGGATGTATCCATCATGCCGACACCACGAACCCAGCCCGTGATACTCCGTGACCCTTAGGCAGACGGAGCGTGCGTTCGTACGTGTCCCTGGCACTTGCCTCACGTAGACACACGCCACCCCTTCCTGCCCGCCACTCATACTTCCTTCTGCCCGCTACACATCCTCCCTTCTGCGCGCCACGCCACACCTCTTCATGCCGGCTACACGCCACATTTCTCATGCCCGGCACGCGCCACACCTCTACTGCCCGCCACATCTCTACCCTTCTCTTTTACCCCATCCCCAGCCCGTAAACGTCAGCGCCTCACCGCCCTCCCCCTTGGCCTGCCACACACCAGCGCCCTCCTGCCTGAGCGCTGACAACGCTGTGACCTAAGGTCAACGTGAGACTGGTCATGATGTGATTCAAGCTATATTCTATCAGGGCGGTTGCCTTTACTCAGAAATTGCGTAGAAATCATAACTATTATACATATTGCTAATCACCATTTATCTCCAACTTATACCTACCCCTTGCTTACCTTCGAAGTAAGCTAGCTAATACTACCGGCTTAAAGCTTTAAAGGCACTCATTCACTGGGAGAGCTCATGAGAATTATGCGTGATCTCGTGACATGGCAAGATTTTGTTTATGCTCTACAGAAGTAAAACGAGAGCAGGGACTGGAGTGTCCATGGTAGAGAAGAGGCTGAAGAGAGCGCGCGGTTCTGGTTTCATCCGGACACGAGACGTTCGAAGCCGCAGTGTAGCGCTCTTTCCAGTCCTTACCAGATGGAACTGCCTCCACCGCCGTAACTGCAGTGGCTGATAGAGCTCGTCTTGGTCCCAACTGCAGTAATACCTGCAGTTTCCAATAACACACTAAGCTACATCGCAGGAAATCTACTCGCCACCCGTTGCACGCAGCTGCATGAAGAGCATTGCGGCAACTTTATTGCAACTCAATGAACAGCGCTCCAAGCGACCGCCCAAACAACAATTCTGTCCAATCCCGGCAGCTGATTGGCTGAGTCACGTTGCTCACTCGCAGGCAGCATGCGTTAACACAGCCCGTAATAGCGAGCATTCATTTGGAGATACAACATTGTGTGAATGGTGGTATAAATGGGGCTCTAACGCAGTCACATGCACCGCAGTAATGGTATTCTAACGCAGTCACATACACGGCTGTGATGCTGTTCTAACGCAGTCAGATACACCGCAGCGATGGTGTTTTAACGCAGTCAGATACACCACAGTAATGGTGTCCTAACGTAGTCAGATACACCGCAGCGATGGTGTTCTAACGCAGTCAGATACACCGCAGAGATGGTGTTCTAACGCAGTCAAATACACCGCAGCGATGGTGTTCTAAAGCAGTCAGATACACCGCAGCGATGGTGTTCTAACGCAGTCAGATACACCGAAGCGATGGTGTTCTAAAGCAGTCAGACTCAGATACACTGCAGAAAGCAGAATTGGTGTTCTGACAAAGTCAGGCACGGCGCAGCAATGGTTTTGTGAAGAAGACATCGGATTCGTATTACCTACTATTACCTAAAGCGTTCAGTTAGCCATTAATCAAAAAGAAAATGGGCACGATGCTGCATTCATGAAGTTCTACATAACGGCGGACGATATTGCATATTTTAAACGTCAGAGTTGACCGTTGCGCGAGCACAAGCTGGGCGGAAACGACTTCAGAAGTCACCTGGACGCACCGACAGTAAACAGTCCCGTTTCTGAGCTCGGATGTTCTTGCCAGAAAGGATAAGATAAAATTTTGCTGCCGTCAATTTGTTCACTGAGAAGCTCAAAGGTTTTCTTAAATATCTCAAGCCGATACAGTAGGAATTTCAAGAGGGATGACTTATGGACAAGTTCACTTAGCCTAATCACTTATCATGCTGGAGTTGATATAATTGAACTATGCTTTCCTTAAATAACTTAGGTGATAATTATTAACTGAATATATAGTCAGGAGGTCGAATTGATGTTAAAATACGAACAAGCATTTTTTAGATTCTAACGGAGCAAGTTGCAGTTTAGTAGAACCAAAGTGTCTCCCATTTTATCAATTTCAAGGCCACCGTGAAGTATCTGCGGCCACTCTGTATTTCTCAGCGAGGAAAATGACAACATTCTCACCTTGCATGAGGAACGAGTTGGCCCGCCACATGAGCTTTAGCAAAGGCGAGGCCTTGCAGTCGTGCGGCCATCCGTTCTTGGCATCCGTCAAAACATCGCTGTTGTTGCTGGTGCTCATCATAGGACTGAACATGCTTCCTCTTATCAAAGCCTCATCTGACAGATGGAACAGCTCCGACGGGCTGATTACCGATCCCGTGTTAGTAACCACCATCTTGACCAGTGAACTATTTCGCAAACTATGAAAAGAGGATAAATATTTTTTGCGAATATTTATTACCGAGACGCTTTTCTTGCTACATGATAAGAGCATAATACGACCATAAATATGCCAATTACAGAGTTTTCATTCAACACCTGAACCAAAATTTTAGGTTTTTGAATGGCAAACGTGTCTTTAACGCGTTCTTATAATAAGACTTATATTGACGCGGAGAGGGGACCGATCCAGTTCCCGAACCATCACAGCTAGCGACACACACTCCACCACGACTACGGAGCAACTGCAAACTGCGCAGTAAAGTCTGTGTTTTGTGACTTTGCGCAAGGGGCATCGAGCTGCTTTTAGGGTAAATTTATCCGCACGCTTTACCCGAAAACATTAAAGCGGGGTATTAATCTGATTTTTCGAATAGGAATGTCTCGTGAACAGCATTTTTATAAGTAAAACCTGAAACTTGACTCGGAAATGAAAGTGAAAACTGTGGTCTAATTAGTCGAAGATCAGTTAGATATGTACATATGTAGCAAATTATAATCACTGATACAGAGATAAATTTTCCTCAATTCTTAAAATGAAATCTGAGTTAAAAATTACACACCTATGAATATACGTTAAATCACGCCTTGCTTTGCATCTCTTCCCCTAGCCCATATCTTGTTTACATCGCGAAACAGACGTCTCGGACAAATTTACGGCCGGACTTCCGGCAGGTCTTGAGGCCGCCTACATACGAAATGGCACTGTACGAATTAAAAAATAATCATCCCAACAGTACACTAGGAATTTGTTTTATTTTTACGTCATTTTGAAGTATGTAGATCATTACAATGGTGGGTTTAATCCTAATTAAATTCTTAATAAACATAATTCAATTTTTTGATCAATGATCAGATCTAATAATAATCTAATTATTTCCATGTACAGTTGAACTGTGAGATCTCACTAGGTTTTACTTTCAATGTTCTTGTTGAACAAATGTTTTACATGGTTAACTAAATTCTCCGAGATATCAGCAGGATGTTCAGAACAAACAGTGATGAATTTAGTTTTCTTTATTAAAAAAATCAGTTAAATATTAAATTATACGAAAGATTTTCTCTGGTGAGGGCAAGGTTAAAGTTCTTAATCAGTTCTTCAGCAGTGTGTTCACAGATGAGGACTTGAACAGTATTCCAGATATTGAGGAGCGCCCAGTCAAATCAACATGTTTTGAAATACACGAAGAAGAGGTTATCAGGCGCCTGGTAGCTCTAAATCCCAACAAGTCATGTGGACCAGACGGCTTCCCTCCCAGATTGCTCAAAGAATAAGCAACCGTTCTGACCGGCTCATTGGCAGTATTCTTTCAAAGAAACCTTGAACGAAGGAACTTTGCCGTCCGACTGGAAAGAAGCTCAAGTAACACCATTGTTCAAAAGAAAGGTGACAAAAGCAGCCCCGGCAACTATCGCCCTGTCAGTCTGACAAGTGTTGTTTGTAAGCTAATGGAATCTGTTGTGAGGGATAGGATTATCGATCACTTGACTGCTCACCATTTCATATCAGATTGTCAACATGGTTTTATCGCCGGTAGATCCTGCACCACTAATTTATTATCTACGTTGAACGATTGGACTCGCCTGCTGGACGAAAGGGAGCCAGTGGATGCATTGTACCTCGATTTTGCCAAAGCATTTGACAGTGTTCCGCATGAGCGGCTGTTGCGTAAAGTGAAGTCTTTGGGAATTGAGGGAAACGTACTCCAATGGGTCAGAGATTTTCTAGTAGGTAGACAACAACGTGTCAGTATTAACGGAACCGTGTCAGACTGGGCATCATTGCGCAGTGGCGTGCCACAAGGAAGCGTTCTTGGGCCTATTTTGTTCGTTGCTTTTTCAAACTATTTGCCAGAAGCAGTCTCCAGCGTGTGCTCCATGTATGCCGACGACACAAAAGTTTATAATACAGTGAAGGATGCGTCAAATAAAGCGCAATTACAAGATGATCTTGACAGTTTAGGTACCTGGACTGATACGTGGCTGCTGCGGTTTAATGCTGACAAGTGTAAAGTACTTCACTTCGGGAAGAACAATGAACAGCAAGATTACAGTATGAGAAGACATGGTTGCAACGAGAGAGTAATGATTGAAAAGTCTAGTGTGGAAAAAGATCTCGGAGTTTATGTCGACAAGGAGCTGAAATTTTCTAAACTAAAAAAAACTGCGCTGCAACTTCTCCACGCGACAAAATTTCTTCTCGCTTCGAATCACCGACATGTGGAACAGCCTCCCCAATGACATCGTTAGCGCTCCAAGTATGAACGCGTTCAAGAACATATAATATAATATAATAGCGGTTTCAGCGTTTATTAGGCCGTAGGCCTGTCACCGATTTTTAGCATCGCAGAACATTCACAGCATTTTGAGGTCTCGAACTCGCAACTCAATGCTACAATTCTGTTGTGCTCAACAGCCCGGCCTCCTTGCCGATTCTGACCAGAAACTGGCGCACAGAGCTGGGATTGAACCCGCGCCTCTCTAGTGCGTCAATCATGGTACTCTGAACTTTAACCACTGGGCCACACTGCCCACCAGTATGCAGTATGCTTGGTACTCTACAGACTAGATAAAGCTATGGAAAAATATATGTTCAGATTTGAATTGCCTAGCACCATATCGAACCCGGTGGAAGTCTAGTAGCTACTTGAAACTATCGTCAGTCATGAAAAGATCCGGTCAAATGAAACGATATTAGATCTTCTGTGAACAATTCACGAAAAGGAAAAGAATCGGCGACAGGCCACAACAGGCCTACACTTCAGCCCGAGATCAATAAGTTATATTATGTTAAATCTTGACATTAGAGGGAGGCCACAAGAGAAGTTTCTTTCACCAAATACCCTAGTTTCTGTGATATTAAGTTGAACGAGGAAAGGCGACCAGCAGGGGGCGCATGCCGGAGGCCAGCTTTGCCAAATTTCACACTTAGTTTATATTCCTTTCCATAGGTAAGAACGCTAGAGTGCATAACGGCTTTATGAAGTCAAGTGCTCAAAGCCATAGCGCCGGATGTCCACAGCCACAAAATAAGCTTGCCGTGATCCTCTCCAAGGGAAGAGAATCACCCAGCATCCTTGTTCATGGAGTCAGTAAGAGACTCCTTCCTAGTCCAGCACGTTACCAAACCAACCCATGATAGAAGTAAACAGACTCCCAATATTCTAGACCTGGTGTTTACCAGTGATGAATCAATGTTGGATGAGCTTCGTCACGAGGCTCCGT